TATTGTAAAAACGGAAGGCTCCCCTCCAGTCTATGATACGTGAGATCTCAAGGATGTATCGATGTGGTTTGAATGATCTAGGGCACTAAACATACTTTTTATATTGTAAAAACGGAAGGCTCCCCTCCAGTCTATGATACGTGAGATCTCAAGGATGTATCGATGTGGTTTGAATGATCTAGGGCACTAAACATACTTTTTATGATCTAGTAAAAGATTTTCATGACGACAATTACAAGAGGCTATATTTCATAAACAGATGTATAGCAATGTGCTCTCATAGTATGCTGGTCGTTCGTCCTATTTATCCAGTATAAATGATACATGAGAGATAAAGGAAAAATATGCTTATCCTTTGCTTGATGGAGCTTAATACGGATGGTGCAGCTAAAGGCAAGAATGGAATAGGTGGGGCTGGGGGAATCTTCCGAAACCACAATGGTAACTGGATGCTAGGCTACATGGAAAACATTCCTTATACATCCACCTTAGGAGCTGAATTCCGAGCACTCTTAAGAGGTCTCTAGCTAGCTGAACAAAACAACTTTCTGCCGTTACAAATTGACACAGACTCTTCAGAAATAATAGGTATATATATGTTGGCAGAAGGTAATTTAATATTTGACCCTCTAATTTGTGAATGCAGGTTGTTGATCCAAAGGATGGGCAGCGTGGTGGTGAGACACTCGTTCAGGGAGCAAAACAGAGTTGCTGATGCACTGGCGAAGGAAGCAGCAAAAGAAACTTTTTTGAATTGATCTGCACTTCTGGCAGTTTCTCCGGTGTTTGCCAACGATATATATTGGGCAGACACCCTAGGAACTGAACTATCTAGAAAATTTTTGGATTGTAATATTGACTCTATCTTGCAAAACATTGCAGACATGGGTACCCTAAGGTATCCAAGTAACTCTCATGTAACTGCGTTACCTTAACTAGTTTTAATATAGTCCNCCAAAAAAAAAAAAAAAAAGAAAGATAAAATAATGATGGAATACCTTTTTTTTTAATGGGAACAAATTTAAACAATGTAGACACTTTAGTTTAGATATTCAAGTCAATTATGGTGGGAACAAAATGAAGGATTGTATTTATTTGTGTATTAAGTAAACCAAAATTTGAAGTTAAAATGTGAAAGATTATTGGCATCATAGATATATGCAGCAACAAAGAGTCAATATTAGCTCCTTTGAAAATCCTAAAATATGAAACGCTACATAAAACCTTTATAAATGTGAACGTTCATTACAAAAACTTGAAATAATGGACGAAGCAACGTGTTACAAAATGGAATAGTTCAGTTCAGATTTAGAGCTGACTAATAAGCTTGTTTGGCCAAGTTTCTCCAAATCCAAGAGCACTTTTTTTTTTAAAAAAAAGTCTTTTTTTTTTAAAGTTGAAGTGTTTGGCCAAGCTTTTAGAAGAAAAAAATATTTTTGAGAAGCAGTAGAAACAGTTTTGGAGAAGCAGAAAATTGTAGTTTCTCCCCAAATCACTTTTGAAAAAAATACACTTAGAAGCACTTTTTAAAAGGTTGGTCAAACACTACTTGATGCTCAAAAGTGCTTTTCAAATTAATTAGCCAAACAAAAACTGTTTTTCAGCAAAAGTACTTATGAGAAAAATACTTTAAAAAAAACACTTCTCAAAATAAGCTGATTTTTGAAGCATGACCAAACAGGCTATAAATGGCTTCATTTTAAATTCTTAATGCATCAACAGAAGTACGGGTGTACAAAGGAAAGCGGCAAACCGCACTAACCCGATAAACCGAGTCAAATTGAGGAAAAAAATCCGACTATGGTTTGGTTTGATTTAGTGTTAACTAAAGAAAGTCAAACCGAAATCAAACAAACCCGATATTACATATATAAAAAATTTAGATATATTTAATGTATAAATATATACTTATTGTGATGTAATTTATAGATATTTTTTAAACTTTTTCATAATTTTATCTTTTAAAGTATTAATTCAAGGTTGGACTTAGAACTTTTAAATGTTCCAATAAGTTTTATAGTCATTAATATTAATAACTCAAATGCTAACAATAGCTCAAACCAAAATCAAATCAATACTAATGCTAACAAAAGACATTCAATTCAATACGAGGATTGCCAATATACTGAATATCTATTTTTTATTTTGCATTGATTTAGATAAAAATGCATAACCTATTTTTGTTTTTTCTTTAGCGTTTAGTCATGTAATTAATACTCCCTTATTAGTCTACTTATTTTAGCATGACTTAGTACTTTTAGATTATGTTTATTTTTATAATGACTTTTTAACTAGCAATATTTATATTACGTGATTTCATTGTCTTTATTGTTGAATATTTTAGGATATTGCCATGACACATCTTATATTTGTATTATTTTCTTGAAAAATAACTTATATAGTTGTATCTTACTAGGATTAAAAAAATTATTTGGAGCACAAGTTATATGTTTTGTGCTACGATTTTACCGGAAAAAAATTCGAGAAAAACCCGAATAACCCGAGAAAAACTGAGATTGAAAAACCCGAGATTTATTGTTTTGGTTTGGTCTTTAAATTTAATAACCCGACACAATTGATTTGATTAGATAATTGCAAAACCCGAACCAACCCGACCTATGTACACCCATAAACAAAAGAATTTCCTTTTAGGGCAGGTTAAGGAAAGCTTCGATGAATTCCATAAGTTGATTGACTTGAGACTTTTTTTTTTTTTGGTTTCCTATCCGGTACTCACATTGGAGTCCGACTAAATTCGGATTCGTGCCGAGAAGTTCCACATTGGAGGGTAAAGCGCTCCCTAACAAAGGCGACTCCATACCCAGGGCTCGAACAACCAATGTAAGACTTGTTTTATATACATACAAACGTGGACCCCTCCTTTCTCCATCACTTGCAAAACAATATAAGCCACTGATATTATTCCTCGAATTTCTGCTCTCTCAACTTTGACTTTGTAAATAATCAATTAAATGAGACACGGTTTCTACATTCAAATAAGAGCCCCGTAAAGCCAGGTCTTCCCTTTTAATAGGTCATACGAGATCTTCCCCTTTTAATAATAGGTTATATGAGACACTAATTTAAATTAGTCAGATAACCAACACCACATTTCAACGGTACTTGGTCCAGCAGCAACGTGCCTCTGGTTATTCTATTAAAGCCATATCACTTGATTTGATTGTCTATCTACCAAGTATGATTAGGTGGAATGATTATGCATCACTAAGCAATCATATAAGTTTAATATCATTGGTCAAATGTAATATCAAGCTAGTTTCTTTGCCTTCTTCAATAATTAATTCTTTTTTTTTTTCTAAATATGGAAAACTTAATCCTCATGTGTTATTGGAGAGTGAAGGGGTGCACGGGATAAACAAAGTAAAAAGAAACATGTTTTGACGTTTAAAGACGCATGATTTTCTGTTTACTAATTAGACAAAACTGAACTCCAAAAATAGAAAGATTCTTCCAAAATAACCCTAAAGAACAGTTCTTCGACTACCAATTCACTCACATAAATAAAAAACCAACTGAATTAAACCAATTAATTTTTTTCTGAGGCTCTTGTAGCTTTTACATGCCTTTTGACATTTTATTTTCGGAAAAGGGTCAAAATTGCCCTTGTACTTTTGAAAAAGGTGTAATATTACCCTTCGTTATACTATTAACCCAAATATATCCCTAACATCATACTATCGGTCCAAATTAACATTGTAAAAGTGGTACAAACCTACATTTCCTCTGTTAACTACCTCCCCTATGAACACATTTTATTGCTACCTCACCATTTCACCCCGTTTGCAGCTACCAAGTTCAATGACTTTGAAGTTCTATTATTATTTTGAAGACTTTACTGCCTCAACTTCCTCTTGCTTTTCAAAATACCTATTGCTTCTCAGGCCGACCCTGGAATTATACGTACCTTTCACTTGACCTTACAATTTTGTGTTTTATTTTGCATTTCGTTGTGTTGCCGCTGAATTTGTAAGACCTATTTAAGGAAAATTTAGTAGCACCTTTATATTAACATAAAACATAAAGAGAGAGAAAATAGTAGCCTTCCAGAAACGTGGTTGAAGAGAAAGAAACGAAAAAAGTTAACTCTCGTGTCTAGGTTGTTTTTCTTTCTTACCATGGTCAATTTTGAAACCTTAAACTAGTTTGCATGTACCTTTGCTTAGTTTTTATACTCCCTCTGTTTCAATTTATGTGAACCCATTTGACTGGGCACGGAGTCTAAGAAAAGAGAGAAGACTTTTGAAATTGTGATGTAAAATGAGGCATATATATTTTGTGTGGCTATAAATTATTGCATAAAGGTAAATTATTTCCAAATAGGGAAAGAGGTCATTCTTTTTGGTACGGACTAAAAAGGAAATAAGTTCACATAAATTGAAGCGGAAGGAGTATAAGACAAAATGTATTTTCATTCTTATAAGCATGAATTGTGAATAGGAAAATAAGAATTTTCTTGGTTCACATTGTTTCATATTATCTTTAGTTGTTAGCATTTTTTTTTGGTATAGTTTGTTTGTATATATCTATGGTTTGTGATTTTTCTTCAAATGAAAGGGGAAGAAAGGTTGTGGGAAAGGGATGAAAATGGGAGTAGAATGGTGAGGTGGCAATGAAATGTGGTCATAGGGAGGTTGTTAACGGAGGAAGGGTAGGTTTGTACCACTTTTATGATGTTAGGATATATTTGGACCGATAGTATGATGGCATATTTGAACTGATAGTATAACGGAAGGAAATATTAGACCTTTTCCAATAGTATAGGGATATATTTGGCCCTTTTCCCTTTTATTTTCTTCTAGGTAGTTGTAGTTAGTCCTTGGCAAAGCACAATAATTCCAGTCTTGAAAAGTTGAAAAATTCAAAATTCAGATCATCTTTTTAAGTTATTTGTGTATATGGCAACCCATATTTCCCCCTCTGATCTGCTACTTCAAAGTCAACAACCTATAACGACTTTGATATGACTCTCTCTCTTTTTTAAAGGTTTTCTTTGGACACTCAAACTTGCAATGCCCAATCTTTTTGCTTGTTTCAAAGTCTCTCCATTAAGTTATTAATAGCATAGACTTTGAAAATAATACCTCATCTTCCATTTGCTTTTCTCTTCCTTTAAGAAGGCATCTTCTTGTCTTTTTGAGTTGAATAGTTTAGCCTCAAAACTTAACATTCCAAAATACTCCATGGACAAGCCCTATTGCCTAGTTATTCTAGCATTCTTTTGCACTATTCTTGTAAGAGCTCAATCTTTTGATTTTCTTTACAATGGATTCAATAAGTCAGATATCATGACTGATGGAGTTGCATTTATCAATCCTAGTGGTGCACTTAAGCTTACCAATAGATCATACCATGTCATAGGCCATGCTTTCCACCCCAAACCTATACCAATTTTCAACTCTAGTACTAATTCCACTGCTAAAAATGCTTCTTCATTTAGTACAAACTTCGTCTTCGCCATTGTCCCTCTTAAGAACACTCCAGGTGGCTTTGGCTTTGCTTTCACCTTATCTCCATCCCCTAGTTTTCCTGGTGCTCAGGGCGATCACTTTCTTGGAGTCCTCAATTCAACGAACGATGGCAATGCTACTAACCACATCTTTTTGGTTGAATTTGACACAGTGAATGGCTATAATGAAGGTGTGGACACAGATGGCAATCACATTGGAATCAACATCAATGGCATGATGTCTATCGCATCACAGCCAGCCTATTACTATGTCAATGACACTTCTAAAATAGAGGAGGTAAATCTACAAAGAGCAGAATCAATTCAGGCTTGGGTAGATTATGATGGAGTAAACAAAGTGGTAAATGTAACAGTATCCCCCAGATCAGTTCCAAAGCCAATTCAACCTCTAATCTCTAAGTCCATAGACTTGTCCTCAGTGATGAAGGAAACTATGTATGCTGGTTTCTCAGCAGCCACAGGAGATAAAGCAAGCTCTCATTACATCTTGGGTTGGAGTTTTCGGTTGAATGGAGCTGCTGATCCATTAAATCTCTCTGAGCTACCTACTGCCCCACCTGAAGTGTTAACATCCTCCAAGAATTCCCATCTTAAAAAGGCCTTGATCGCAGCATTTTCCTCCACGGTTTTCCTGATCATTGTGGCATCAGTAATTGTTCATATCCGTAGAAGAATGGTGCAACATGAAGTTCTAGAGGATTGGGAGCTGGATTGTCCTCACAGGTTTAGATACCGAGATCTTTACAAGGCAGCCAGGGGATTCAAGGTCAGTGAACTAATTGGAGTTGGAGGCTTTGGTGCTGTTTACAAGGGTATTTTGCCCACTAATGGAGCTGAGGTTGCAGTGAAGAGGATAGCAAGCAATTCTCTTCAAGGAATGAGAGAATTTGCAGCGGAGATTGAAAGCTTAGGCAGGTTAAGGCACAAACACTTGGTCAACCTTCAAGGCTGGTGTAAGACAAAGAATGATCTTCTCCTAGTGTATGACTATGTCCCAAATGGAAGTCTTGATTCATTACTTTATAGACCGAAAAATGACATTGTTCTAGCATGGGACCGGAGATTTAACATCATCAAAGGGATTGCTGCAGGGCTTCTTTACTTGCACGAAGAATGGGATCAAGTGGTAATACATCGAGACGTGAAGAGCAGTAACGTCCTTATTGATGGTGAAATGAATGGTAAATTAGGGGATTTTGGGCTTGCAAGATTATATGATCATGGCAAGAATTCACACACTACAAATGTTGTAGGAACAATAGGGTACCTTGCACCCGAATTATCAAGAACAGGGAAGGCCTCAACGAGTACAGATGTTTATGCATATGGTGTACTACTTCTTGAAGTAGCTAGTGGAAGACCACCTATTATCTATGAACCAGGGCAAGGAGCTCTGGTACTAGCAGATTGGGTTATAGAATGTCTTCAACTAGGTAATATTCTTGATGCAGTTGATCCTAGGTTGAATTCTGCCTATGTCGATAAAGAGGTGAAAATGGTTTTGGGACTTGGGCTTCTTTGTTCTCACCCAAGACCAGAAGCTAGGCCAACCATGAGACAAGTAATGAAGTACCTCAATGGAGATGAATCGCTTCAAATTTCTGAGCAGTTGAGCTCTGTTGGATCGGACAGGGTTGATGAAATCACATCCAAGTTCTTGGAAGTGTTTGCTAGTGATACAATCAATATATCACGCCGTACATTTTCCATTGGACAGATGTCATCTAGTTCCTTAAATGCTGGTAGATAGAAATTATAGGAACTTCTGTATAAAGGATATACAACTGTTCTCGTGTTTGCTTAAAGCTGAAATTAAGTAGCTTCTATTTACCCAAAAGTCACTTTTTCTTCCTTGTAATTGTGCAATTTAGATAGGTCATCTATTTCTGGTGCATTCATCAGCTAACAAGGGAGAGGAACATAATCTCAGTTATCACATTCCTATATCTGCGTTCTTACTTAACACACCCTACATTTGTTTATGCAGACACTCTTAAAGATATAGATTCTGATTTTTTCTGCACAAATTCTTCAATATCTTAAAGATATAGTTTCTGGTTTAGTTGAATATCATGATATTTTAGACATGTTTTTATGAGCACATGCCTCATCATACATCTATTCCTCCTGAAAAATAAAAATAAATCCACTCGCAACATTTAGAGGAAGGTCTTCAATACATTAAAGCACGAAATGTAGCCAATTCTCAACACTGAAGTCAACGAAATATACTTCAAAGAATGTCCAAGTAGTTCATAACTTCATATTATCTTAAGGCTGGATGCATAGCAGCCCCAGTTACTACAAGATAGGACTTTTTCCCATCCAACAACAGAGCTGGAAAAACTAAAAGAGCAGAAATCAGGGGTCGCGTCAAAGTTAAGTTTGTTCCTCTAAAGTAATCAAATTGCAGGCCAACTAATTGTCGTAAAAAAAAACAGATTGACACCACATTCTCAAAGAACAATCATTCATTGGTATCATATACAGCTCTTAATTTGGTTAGATTCGTCAAGATAAATCCATGTACTCTACATTGACTTCAACAAAGTAATGGGTAAGATTAACAGGTTTAGCTCAATCAGGAAGGCTACACATGCTAGTGACAAAATGGGTACAACTGGAAAAGACAAGATTTGACAAGAAATCTAGAACGCCGGAACCACAGATCTAAGAATTTATGCACAGGTCCCATAAAGTTCATGTAGTGTAATTTATATTAAGAGTCAATTTAGACACCTTAATGTGCAATCGTCATTTATCTCAGCTATTTTGTTTAAAACTTCTCATCTAGAAGGGTGCATGACGTAAACCAATGGGTGGCCTTTAAGAGAGACTGTCATGTGATGCAAAGAAAACCATGTCCAAAGGGTTATGCAATTTGCAAAGACTATACCAGTAAACATATTTTCTGTTGTTGAAGAAAAAGGCACTGCCACCAGCAAGAAATACAGCAACAAGTAATAGTACTATATTTCTTAAATTATGTGTTTTAAGTAGATTGTTAGTTACTCAGACTTCCAGTTAAATGACAGTTGCATAAACAAACAGGTGTTTCATGACTTTAAAAGTGTAATGAGCATTACAAATTTTAGTTTAGGTGGTACTTGCCTATTACCTTAAAAATTTAAGGTGGATTATTTGAACTCCACTATTTAAACTAATACTAGAACTTAGATAGAAATTAAAAATTCATTAGTTGTGGAAAAGAACGAAAACTGACGATGATCTTCAGCAGAGAGCAAGAATGATAGTAACCGGAGAAAGGTTACCAAGACAGAATGATGAGTTACTGGAAGCTGACTTGTAATATTATATTAAAGGACTAGACAAAGTCATAACAGCAGGCTACCAAGACAAGGTGGCCTCAAAGCTTGAAGCTGTAAAAAATTACCCCACCCCTTCTGCTTACCCATAAATTAAAAAGGAAGAACTTCAACTTTAATAGCCAACACAAGAGATGCAAGCTTAGCTGATTATGCAACTCAAACCCCCCCCCCCCCCCCCAAAAAAAAAACCTTGGTAACCTGACAACTTCAGCCTCGGTAATACAACGGAAAAAACAAGATTCCCTATGTAAAGAGCAGATCTCACCCACAAACAGAGAAGGCACGCCCAATCATTCCTTGTGTCCAGGTTGCTGTTTCTTTCAGCTGTTCATCATCAGATTGAAGACACTCGCCCAACAGCTGTGTGCAAAATGCAGGATCTTTGAATATGGTCTTTGCATTGGAACCGAGTGCATCAGCTAGATCTCCCAACACAGCTACTGCTGCTTTTGTTACGCTCTCGTCTCTGCAAAAGAACCAGAATACACATGTCAGAACTCATAAGGTGCAAATATTGTAAGAGAAAGAAAATGTCCATGAAAATCCACTTAACAATACCTTGGTCTGTCTTTTGCAACCAGTTCAATGAACTGCAAGAGATGAGGAGCGTAGGGTAACATCACGTTGGCCTTGGAATTCTTAAATCCCTGAAGAATTCCAGAGTATGCTTCAAAGATACTGCGCCTGAGCTGGTTGCCATACTCTAGCATTTCATCATCACTGTTATCTAGTTGTGCACATACTTCAGAAGCAGTTTGCATCATAGGCAATGCGTATTGAAGGTACTTCTCAAAATGTTCACCTATGGCAAGCGCAATATCCCCAAGGCAGGAGAATATGGGAGGCTTTACAGATTTATTAAGTTCACCACTGGACAGATCCTTGAGAAGATGTGTCATGATCCCATCACAGTAGGGCAAGATCTTGCCGTCCAATGCACGGCAAATATCACCAACCACCCCCACTGAGATGGAACAGACCTGGTACTCTTCAAAATTCTGCAGCCCCATCTCCAGATACTTGTAAAATTCTGGCATATACTTCAAGAAATCTGATCCTGTTGCATAGGCCAGAGCGCCAATAGCAAGCATCGCCTCTTCATGGACAGTTGAGCTACGACAGGCAAAAACCTTTAAGAACAACATCATGATCTGGTCGGCAACTTGGACTATTATAGACTTGGTTTCATCAGAATTACTTAGCTTCTGAATAATAACCTGGAGAACACCACATAGGGAAGCCTGTAGATCTCCCTGTTTTTCTCTATCGTCAGCGGATAAAATCTGAAGCTCAACAGTTTGTGCCAACTTGGTCATGATAACAGGGCAAAGATGCTTAATGATCTGAGATGTTTCAATAAGATTAGAGCACCTAACAGCTTCATTCAAGGTTTCATATGCGGTGGTTCTGAGCTTAGAACCACTGCTGTCTGTTCGATCAGCCGTTGAAATAAGAGAACCAATAATCTGAGTTACAAATGGTGTGAGCAGAGACGAGCTCGGCCCAGCATCCTCATATCCTTGAGAGAGAAAATAGATAGCCCCACAAACTTTCTCAGCAACATGAGGTACATCTTTTAAACTCTCTAACAGCACTTCCACAATCTGTTGAAGGTTGGCTGGTGAAACCACTGAAAATCCAGAAGCTGGAGCGTGCAGCAACTCAAAGATACGGCTGAGAGTCCATGCTGTGGTATCTCTTATGTGCTCATTGTTATCCTTCATCGCATCAAGCAGATGCTTTAATCCAGCATGGACCATGGGAGATAGCTTCTCAATGCTCGGGCCTTCAAGTATTGAGCCAAATGCATATATGGCAGCCTCGCGTGAGCGCCAATCAGATTTCATTATGTTAGCCTCCACAAAAGGCATTACAAGGGGAACAACAGAATCTCCAACAGTTCTGGCAACAAGACCAAGACATGTTCCACCGGCCATAGCCAGATTCCAGATTTCATCGTCCTGGTCCTGTTCCTCATCCTGTTTCAATAATGTTTCCAACAGCATTGGAACTAATATTTCGAGAGCCTTCTCAATGAAATGGGAATGTTGCACACTGGAATCCCCACTGTCAGGGACCTCATAATCTTGAAGCTCTATCTCTTCATCACAGATAGAACTCCAGAATTCAATTGCTTGAAGGGCTACAGCTTCCTCATCTTCTTTTACTGCTTTAGCAGTCAACTCGAACAGAGTCTGCATGTAAGGTTCAAGCAACTCGTAATATGTTGATGCAATAGAAACAAGACATTCAAAAGCTGCTTGTCTTATCTGTGTCTCTTTTGCTGTGGCTGCCTCACAGATGACCTTCATAATATAATTTCTCTCCATCTCATTATCAAAGTTCGTCTGAGCAAAATCAAGAGCATTATACAAAGCTCTCGCTGCAGCAAGTCTGACTTCAGGGCTGTCCTCCTCAACATTCATACCTTGCACAACAGCAGTGAGGACAGAGTTTACTTCATCTTGGACAAGATCGTGGTGAGATATCTCCTCACACACATAACCAAGTGTTTCCAATGTGGCCTGTTTTAGGGATGCAGGCCTTCCATGCTGAGTCATGTTAACAAGCAAAGAACCAACAAGCTCTGGCCATTGTTTCTGAGGAACTTCGATGGAAGCTATTTTAGCAATCACTTGGGCAGCAGTGTGACTTGCCTCGCGTACAGACGATCCAAGGCAGCTCAGAAGCAAGCTTTTAATTTGGGACTTATAAGATGAATCAATTACCAGCCATTGTTGAACAAGCTGTTGTTTCCTGACAGTTTCTTTAGCATCCAAAGAGTTCTTAAGCACAATACCTGCCAGCCTCCGGGATTCAGTGGGATTTACATCAGTTGAGAGCTCAACAGCCAGTGAAAGAAGAAATCCCGGTAGGTTTTGCTCTCGGAACTGACTAAGGTTAGCCTCTGCCTCAGTCCGAATCTTGGCATCCGCTGATTGAGCAGCCAATAGACACTGAGTGATCTCAAGAGCCATTTCTCCTACAAAACTGAACCCAGACAGAAAAAGTTAGACACTGTGGCAGTTACTAAAATATACAGTATTTCTAGTAATAAAATAGCACTTTAAATAGTACTAGAGGATTCTCCTTTGGGGCATAGTAGCAATATAGAGGTACAATGAGGCATGAGCAACTATTTGAAAATCCCATTCAAATTTTACATGCCATCAACAAGCCTCACAAAACCAAGAAAACCAAAGTTTTCAACTTTTGAATGCTTCCCACTAAAAGGCGCCCTCTTCTTCTTTTTTTTTTTTTTACAAACAACCAATCAATCAACTACACCTCAATCCTAAAACTAGGTATTGTCATATATGAGTCATCTATGTCCATTCAGATCTATTTGGGCTAATTGAGAAAATGAGGTACAAAATTAAATTCAATGGCACTAGGTCAAAGTCATGCAAACTAAACCAGGTATTTAAGTGGAGAAAGGTAGAGGGGCGGGTCCATTATCCTGAGTTTTGCATCGTTTGGTTCAAGGGATTAGGTGGGTCATCCCGGTAAAAATTTGGGATTAAGTTTATCCCATGTTTGGTTTGAGGTATTAGCTAAAACCAGTGTTTTTCTAAACCAAACTCTTAGTATGAGTTACCCCATATAG